CACGTTCAAATGTAAAGCTAATGAGCTATCTGTACCGTCACAAGAAAATTCAAGCGAGTTGAAATTAACGAAGAGAAAGATCCTTAGTAAAGTGGTTCGTGTATTTGATCCAATTGGATTCGCAGCGGCGTTCCTGATCCGTGCAAAAATCGGTTTACAACGACTCTGGCAGCAAGGATTAGATTGGGACGAAGAACTTTCATCTGAGGTTTCAAAGTGGTGGACTGAGTTTTTTGCAGAAATCGAGGACTTGAATAATGTCTCGTTCCCAAGAAGTTTAACACCAATGAACACTATTGGACTACCGACACTTTGTATTTTTGCGGACGCGTCTCGAGATGCATTTGGAGCATGTTCTTATTTACGCTGGGAAAAGTCAAGTGGTAATTATGAAAGTCGATTTATATCTGCTAAGTCGAGAGTTGCCCCTCTTAAAGAATTGACAATACCTCGTTTGGAGCTACAGGCAGCAGTTCTAGCTAGTCGATTGTACAAGACCATAATAGAAGAATGTCGTTTACAGTTCGAGAGAGTTATTTTCTTTACGGACAGTATGATAGTCCTTACATGGATCCGTAGTCAGTCAAGAGAATTCAAACCATTTGTGTCGAGCAGGGTTGCGGAAATTCAAACGAATTGTGATCCATCGACATGGAGACACATACCAAGTGAGCACAATGTAGCCGATGATTTATCAAGAGGCATTCCAGCGAAAGATCTAGAACACCGTTGGAAGAATGGCCCAAAGTTCCTGAATCAACCCAAAGAAGAATGGCCTGAACAACCAGCTATGCCAGTCGATCCCGCGGAACTCGACAAAGAACGTCGAAATACCCAAGCAGCCTTTTCCTTAAGCACCGTACCGACAGTAATTGACCCAACGAAATTTTCGAAGTGGAAGAGATTGGTGAGAGTGACGGCGTGGATCTTACGATACATACGAAATCTACGATTAAAAACAAAACCCGAAGATAATGTCGACCCGTTAACAGCTGTTGAGTTAGAACAGGCCGAAGAGTTATGGATCAAGACAGCACAAAAAGAGTTACACGAACGTGTTAAGAACAAAGAGTTCAATATGCTTAGTCCATTCACAGATGACAAAGGAATCATAAGAGTCGGCGGACGAGTGGATAAAGCTATCGTAACGTATGATTCGAAGCATCCAGTACTTCTTCCCAAGAACCACCACATTTCATACCTGATTACCAAAGATGTACATCAGATTACTCACACTGGGATAGCGTCGACAGCGGCGAAAACAAGAAGAAAATTTTGGATTATCGGAGTGCAAAAATTGGCAAAGTTAATCAAGAAAAAGTGTATTTACTGCAAGAAGTCGCATCCAAAGATTGAATCGCAAGTTATGGCTGAACTGCCGAAGATAAGATTGATGCCTCAGACACCTCCATTTTACCATACAGCTTGTGACTATTTCGGTCCGTATAAAGTCAAAATTGGAAGAAATAAAACCACTAAACACTATGGTGTTTTGTTTACTTGTCTGAACACTCGGGCAGTTCATTTGGAACTTGCAACAGACTGTTCAACAATGGAATTCATCCAAGTACTCCGAAGATTCTTCGCGATTAGAGGTTACCCTTCATTAATGTTGAGCGATAATGGAACACAACTGGTCGGCGCAGAGAGCGAACTAGCAAAGATGATCCAAGGTTGGGATGTGAAGAAACTCAAGCAGTATGCAGCAGATAAAAGAATGGAGTGGAAATTCATTACTCCTAATGCCCCACATCAAAACGGATGTGCCGAATCGTTAGTAAAAAGTTGTAAATTAGCCCTTAAACAAGCCATGGGAGATAACCTTCTCACACCATTTGAATTGCACACCGTACTGCTTGAAGTAGCAAATCTGGTAAACCAACGACCAATTGGTAGACCAATCAACGACCCCGATGATGGTACATACCTATGTCCGAATGACCTTTTATTAGGAAGAGCTTCCTCGCATGTTCCACAAGGACCATTCCTGAAGACAAAGAACCCGCGTCATAGAGTTGAATTTCTACAACAGATTCTTGACTCGTTTTGGAAACGATGGACCAGAGACGTCTTTCCCTGTTCAATTCACGAAAGAAATGGGATGTTCAACGACGCGATGTCAAAGTCAACGATATTGTCATGTTAGTTGATTCGAATGCGGTACGAGGCAATTGGACGATCGGAAGAATTATTGAAGTTCATCCAGGTAAAGATGGAAAAGTTCGAAATGTAACAGTAAAAACACAAAATGGTAATTACCGAAGACCTATTACTAAAATCTCAGTTATACACCCCGTGGACGGAGAATAGAATGAGAACAATGTCCTCATTGGGGTGGAGGATGTTTCGCTAATTTAAAAATAGATAAATAACTACGTCATTGAACAGACAAAGTCACGTGACAGAAAAATAGCGGGAAATAAACACGTTGGTTTTAAGCTGTTTACTCGAGGTTTAACGTTCAGAAATAGGTTTATATTTGGTGTATTGTAAAGTGATATAGGCCAAAGAAGTAAGTTCATGTTGTTTATCATAACTAATTAACTTTATTCAGTAGATAATTCTTGTATTTATACTTTTAGATCGAATATTATTATTATTACTACTACTACTACAACTATTATACGATATTTGGAAATTATTTGTGGTCACTTTACAAACCGGTAATTCTGATTCTGGCGAGCCAAGGCGTTTTTCATGCATGGGTATAAGTGTTCCACTCAACTTCAAAAGCTCCGTTGAATTTTTGTTGTGGGCAACCAAGTGCACTACATGTCTTCTTAATTAAAAAGGTTTTTGTTAGGTTTAATATTCATAATAGTCGAAGACCTTTTTCACCTGCTTCACAGCCTTCAGACATTTGTCACGAATAGTTTTAAAGTAGCAGTGGAAGCATAACCTTCGGAACACTTGACACCACGTTCGCAAGGCAAATTTCAGTAAGGGTGACGCATGTGCAGACGTTTTTCCGGGGTGTTAAAGTGTATATGACATGAAATTTTTTATTTTCTTAAATGAAAGAACTCTTTAAGTTGCAGTATAACTTATTTTTCAGTTTCTTGTTTTTATGGTTTGTTCCCGATTATAAATGTATTAACTCTAAAAACTGTAGATATCAGTTCACGTTTTTCTCTAGTGTTTCATCAAATTTACCAGTGAGCGAAGTTTGAAATTATCATCTTGGATGATAGCAGTGATATTCAACCATTTTAAAGAGCTTGCAACCAACATGACGTCATAAATTAGCGGACATATTCACACTCATTTACATATCAAACAAACTGAAATATCTCGGGAACAAACCATAAAAACAAGAAACTGAAAAATAAGTTGTATTACAGCTTAAAGAGTTCTTTCATTTAAGAAAATAAGAAATTTCATTTCATATGCACTTTAAAACAATTAATTAGACCCCATGTAGCCACAAAAAGTAAAGGAATTAACTTGCCTGGGTTAGCTTAACCCTAGGTTAACCTAAAATTTAAAGCAAACTTTCCAACAGCTTGTTTATAAATTTGGAAATATTTCTTCAGAAATCTTGCCTGGATCAGTAAGAGTTTTCTTCTCTGGGGCTAGTTGTTCAAAGCTGGCTTAACTTAACCCTAGGTTAACCTAAAATTCAAAGCAAACATCCTGACAGCTTGTCTATAAATTTGGAAATATTTTTTCAGAGATCTTGTCTGGATCGATAGGAGTTTACTTCTCTGAAGCTTTGAAATAAACAGACGTACAGAAATACACAAACTAAAACAGCAGGTTAAATTTTAACCCACGATTAGCGCTAACCATACGCTAACCCACCTTTGAACAACTGACCCCTGAAGTTTTGAAATAAACAGACGTGCAGAAAATCATGAACTAAAACAGAAGGTTAAATTTTAACTCAGGTTTAGCGCTAATCCAGCTTTAAACAACCGCATAATCACTGAGCCTGAAGCGAATAATTGTTTTAGTCTAAATTTTTAACGAATAAAACAAAATATCAGTTTAATTAAACTGAGGAATACTACCTTTCAAGTTAAACATAAAATTTTGTGCTTCTTTCGTTTTCTGGGGACGATTTGTTCGATATTTCGTCGATTTTGAAACCAAATTTGCGGAATCATTCTCTTTGAAAAGCATTATTTACCAGCCAATCAGAATGCACGAAAGCTCAATTGTTATGCAACATTTACACTAAAATTATTTATTTGAAGATAATTGATATAATTCACGTCAGGAATAAAAGTAAAACCGCGAATGATTAGCTATACAATCAACATATGAAATTATTCATACTTTTTGAAATGTCAAAATTTGTAAGAATTATTGAAGTTTACTTTGTTTCAATTGGGTTTAAGGTGGAATAATAATATTTCCAGTTATTCTTTGCCATCCGCAATACCTCCAGCAGTTACTGCAAACGTGGCCTCGTTTTCAGGTAAGTCGGGACTAGAGGTGAAAAATTCAGGGTGTTAACGGCAGTCAAAAATTCAGCGTTACGTCCTGGTCAAACGAGAATGAGAGTTGATGAGAGTTGAGAAGCGAGAGTTTGCATGAGAGTTCTCCCAACTCTACATTTAGCTACATAACTATCAGCTACCTGTCATAAATCTTTGCAATTCGTAATTCTCCTCTGCCTTTCCGTAATGCAACGCGCGTCGTGGAGGCATGTGCCAGAATATGACCACCAATTGGTTTCTTTGGATCTGCCTGAAAACTGCAACAAGAAGTCGAGGTTATGAGACGGAACAGTTTAAATCTTTCTAAATTTTATATAATCAATAATTGGAGTGTATACTAGGGAGGTACAGATAAAAATTTTAAATTATCGAACCATGCTATTGGTCTGAGAATTAGACTGAACTAAACTGAATAAGAAATCTCACCTCATGGTTGCTATTTTCAACATCAACATGATGGAGGCATTGCAGAAAACAAAGAGAAAATTAGTTTTTGTGTTGTTAATCAGTTAAGTAACATATACATATAACCTCCGTAAATCTAATAACATTGAATATTTGAAAAATGCATTTTTGAAACAAAGAACAGTGTACGTTTAAAATATCTTACCTCCTGGATCTGCAGTCATCTAAAAACGAAAAGATTCAGATTTTAATACAAGTTCATACGTCGATTTTCCCCTCGAATATTCCCCAAAATCCAATAACTATTTATGGCTAGCAAACCATGCAAAGGCCGCGGGTTCGATTCCCACCGCGGTCAAGCAAACTTTTCAGCTTGCCCGATGTGGACACACTCAGAGACAACATCACAAACATATAAAAAATTATTTATTTAGAATAGCGGTTCAGGTTTAGGCTTTCTGTCATCTTAATAGGTTGAGAAAAAACAGTGGTACTTTGTACCTGATTTGTGATAAAAACAGCAACATTGAACTCTAAAAACAGAAACACATCGAGTGCATGGTATAGTATAAATCATGAAGTTATAGTATAGCCAAAAAAACTTTATTTACACAAAAGTCTTCGTAAAATATTTGGATAAAATGACAAAACGTCCAAATTGCATATATATTGCAAGCTTCGTACCTTCGGAAATCTTCTGCAATCGTGATAACATCTGAGCGAGCTTTTGCTGTCTGTCTGCTAACTCCCCTCTGCCACAGAAATCAACTCGAAACAATGCCATAATTGAATCAATAACCTGCAAAACGAAAATATCAAAAACACGAAATAAAATCCTCTCGATCTTGCATGTAGATCAATCTTCACATACCAACAATTTGAATACTCCAGGCTCTTCATGGAATTTCGCTGCAACTATATCCAGTAATTCAAATTGATGTTCACCTATACGAATGCCAAAAAAATCATTACAACTGCAAAACGTTGATGGTATCAGAATGCTTGTAAATTTATGTTGTGGAGATAGCCAACGATTTGGATTTTCTTCCTCTGATGGATGTAAACGACTGGATGAGTTATGAATGAAAGTATTTCATTGAACTTTAAGGTTCAGAATATCATAACTCATCTACTCGTTTCCATGCATCAGAAAAAGAATATCGCACCAGAAATCGCAGTGCCTTAAGCCTGATTTACACTATCAAAGTTTTTGTGATCACAGTAGGAATTTTGCATGGGTAAATTCTAAGTTTTTGAAGGATTTGTAAGAAATGTTTGAGGGAACTGACTCAGTGTTAAACAATGAGTAAACGTTATCTAATTTGCGATAGATTTCTTACTGGTGTATGCTCGGCAGTACAAAACGTTGTCCAACATTGCATTTTGATCCAGGTTGAAGCGATCTGCGATTTCTCTCAAACGATCTGGACGACTGAATTTTAGTTAAACAAACAACATTTTGTATGTAACGAGGTACGAGTTAAGCCCATTTTCCACCAGGTCCAGGAGAATTTGTTCGCGCGAGGTGAAAACAAACCTTGGCAATGTGATTGGTTAGCGCAAACATTCGGCGCGAAAAACTTGGATCAGTTCCAACTTTTTTACTGTTCGCGCGAACAAATTCGCCTAATGGAAAATGGGCTTAGTTAATGAATGGTTCAAGGTATGGTTCAAGGTGAAGTCGAAGGCATCACTCCTGGGGAGGGGACGTGGGGAATGAGAAGAGGGGAGGGGGGGGGCACGCGTCCCCCACTTTTTGGACATTCGTAATATATAAGCTATATAGACTACGTCTGTTTGCCTAGTTTGTCTCCCCTACTTTTTGGAATGGAATTTTCTTCTTGGGTGAAGTAATATTCGTAACACAGGGCAGCAGATGGTGGTCAACTTCAGAAAAGTTGGCACTTATTGAAGCAAACATATTTGCATTGCTGCAATTTAAATATCGTATTATTTTACCTTCAATAAACTCTTGCAAGAATGATTTACATTAAAACTACATAATCTGTTTAATTCTAATCATAAACAAAAAGGATACAATGTATTCTGAAAAGATAAAAAAATAATGTATAGTTTTTCATGGAGCGTTAATAATTACAACACATAACTGTTAGTGAGAATATTCACCTCGGTGTCGATAAATATAACTTTTCCTCCAGAATAACCATTAGCACCAGGAAGTTGGGCACTAACTGATGGAGAATAAATAAGACGAGTGAGTAGTGCATTTATCCACAGGGCAAACGACGTTCTTTCAACGTTGAAATTTGGTAAAAATTACTAAAAAAAGGTTGCGACGTCGGCAACCTAATATCAACGTTGCTCTGTTGTTTTACAAATAGTGAGGCGGATATGTGTAAAATTATTGATCAGTAGTTCCCGTTGAGGTTAAAAGCATCAAACTTTTACAATTGATGTAGTTTTATTTGCTTAATAGATATTTGAAGTGGGGCCATCGCTATTTTGCTGCTAACTCCTGAAAGCGGGTGATTAGTGATTTTCTTCTATTGAATTCTATTATAGCCAAAAAATGTGAAATTTTGTTTTCAATTACAACAAATATGACTTGCATCATCAGAAAGCTTATAAAAAACTGCATATAAGACGTTTAGACAGTTTGTTGATTTCTGAAATTGTTTTCGAATTATAAACTGTTAAAAACGCATTTTCAAACATCGAATAATTAATTAGGGACTTTTAGCGAGATAACGTGCCTAATTTACAGCAATAACCATTTGAAGAATAAAAAAACTGTTTAAAAGACTTTTTATGTAGTTTTTTACAAGCTTTTTGATGATGCAAGTTATATTTGTCGCGATTGAATTCAAAATTTTACATTTTTTGTTGTAGTAGAATTTAATAGCAAATAATGCTAATAGCATCGTAAAAAAACCGTTTCACGATGGCCCCACTTTTGCATGTTGTTCTACTCATAAAAAGATGCTACTGTGCATGCACAATTTGATGCTTTTAACCCTCTTCGGAAACATCCATGCACATATCCGCCACACTAAAACGTTGGTTCAACAACAGCTCACAGACGTCGAACCAACGTTCATTCATGGTTGATTATACGACGTCGACTTGTGAAGTAATCGTTGTTTTAACGCGGATTCAACGTTGAATTATGGTTGACGAGATTGGCAACCGTCGGTTTCAACCGTCAAGAGTAACGTCGATCCAACTTGCATTTTCAATTATTTTTTAACGTCTATCCAACGTCCTGGAGATCATTTCCGACGTTGATTCAACGTTGAATAAACGTCGTTTTGCCCGCTGGCCAAATGGTGGGTAGATTTGGGTTTTCTTTCCGGGGCTAAAATACTATATTACAAAGTGTTTAACTTCTAAAAAAAAGTTCTTACCACAGAGCGTATGTGACAGCTGAGTTTTGCCAGTCCTAAATTCTGAAAAACAACGTAAGTAGTACATAAACAGTATTAACACGCACACATAGATTTACTGTGAACAAGTTCATTCCTTGATTAACAAGTCCCCTAATTTCATATGTAAATAGGGATAGGTGGTAGAGGAGGGTAGATGCTCATCAAGCCTTAGCGTGGGCGCTTATCGAGGCCAAAGCAATGGGTGCACCCCTGCCCCCCCCCCACGTAAATCTATCCCTGTAAAATTAACTTACCACCAAATACCTCAGTGATGGACATGCTTTCAATTCCACCTACGAAATTGATCAGATTTTGTGATTACAATTATTTGATATTGCATGTAAGAAAAGAAATAACAATGATTCATGAGGATTGTTACAATGTTCAAAAAATCTCATTACAAAAACATAACTTACCTCCAAGCAATTTACTAAAAGAAACATAAAAAAGCTGTCACATCGTAATATCAAACTGCAAAGCAATTCACCATGATATGGTGTCCTAAGACTCTAAGTTGTACTTCAAAAACTTACTTCAGCTCATCACTACCAGTTGCAATTCGGAAACACATTTTTCTCGCATCACTATATTCCAAGGCGGTCACAAAACCAGCACTCTAGATATGTGGAAAGGATTTATACGCTCTGTTTTGAAGACGCATCGTTTGTCCAACTGCTATATTTTACTCAGTCCAACAAATATAAATATTTTACTAAAGAAAACACTGGAGAAGACTAGTAGAAAGCGGTAATAAACATTAATTTTTATACGTACATTCAATTTTGCAGCTGCTTCCTATAAATAAAGATAAAGAAGTAGTAGTCACATTTTGTTGAAAGAAACAACAAATCCCCAAATAATATGCCCAGCAAAGTGCAAATCGTTTGTAATATCATGAAAAATACATACTTTAATTTTCTCCATTTTTGCCTCAGATATTCCTTTTATCTGACACAACTTTCTTCTTGTGGTCATTTGAACACCCTTATGAAAGAAAAAATACGGTATCATCAAAAGCGGGTTGTGTATTCCCTTTACACACACGCCCCTCCCCACACCAATATACCTTAAGGAAATTACCTTTATGGTACATATTCCAGATGTTTTCAACTTCTTAATATCAGCAACATTCTGAAATCAAAGTACCGTACAAATTAATGCATGGGCGCTGGGGAATTGTTTTGGTTCCTGAGATAAACAAACACTACGTGGGTCCGGGCAAAATTTTGAAATCGAGAATTTGAAATGGCAGTTTCTACGTTCTGAGAAAGATATAACAAGCAGGCCAGAAACCTCCACGTTTCAATATCTTTCAAAACCAATAACGATGAATTATTAATATATAAGCTATGGAGAAATTTTTTTCAATTCCTTATTTTTTCAAAGTTGGTGGCTGGGGGAAGGGATTAGCTCCAAGCCCCTAGGCCTAGCATCCTAACTACAGAAGATGGCAGTTTTATCGTCCCAGGCTATATTTATAACTTTGGCAAACTTACAATTCCATGGTTTTGTAGCAAATCAATATCCAAGTAAAACGATTCCTAAAGTAAAGAAGTAGCTAAGTGTAACTCATATACACGAATGAAATATATAGAGAATAATACATGGGTGCGCGGAAATACCAGATTTATTTCGAGTGTTGAACATGATATCTCACGAGTGAGCGCAGCGAACGAGATATCATGTTCAACACACGAGAAATAAGTCTGGTATTTCCAAGCACCCATGTATTTTTCTGTTTATTATATAAAGACAGTCTTTGAAAAGCGATAATTTTTACAGAAAAGCAATAATTGAAAAGCGATAATTTTCACATGCGAGATTATCATAAATAATCTCACGTGATATTATCACTTTTATCAGTGCTCGAGTTCTCTATAAAATACTATTATATAATAAAAAAATTTATATAAAAAAATTGAATCTTGAGAATATCGTCCCGGCCTCACGTAAACAACAATTCATACACAGGGAAAAATTGAACTTTCCTTAAATGGTTAAAGATTTCCCATAT